TATATATATATATATTTCTCTTATAAGCCAATTTAATATAAAAAAAATGTAATGGCATCTTTCCTTACCGTCCATGTCGAGTAAAAATGTGTTGCATCATTACCATATAAATATGGAAGCACCTGGTGCCAATGTGTGAGATTAATTAGGTATAATTTTCTATATCACCAAATTGACACAAATTAAATAACTTAAGTATAAATGTTGTTACAAGTAAACAAAATTGTAGCAATTAAAACTCACATGCCAACCAACTGAGATTTTGTTACCAGCATCTCCTTGCCCATTCTGAACCCATAAATTTGAAAGGGTGATTTGATCTGTCCTATCAAGTTTTGGATTATAAATACTATTTGTTCCATTGACTCCATAATAAGGACCAAAACGCGACTTGAGAGATACTTCTGCAACCTACAAAATTCATCCTATTAACCCTTAGATTTGATGTAAATTATAATAAAAAATCATGAACATTTGAAATTTAAGCTTTCAAGAACACTTACATGAATACCAGGAGCTTTTTGAGTCATGATCATATGATCATTTAATAATGATTTTTCTCGAATTAGATCATCTTTTGTGGTTCTCCGAATAGGAACTGTCCCTAATGGACATTTGTCCTTATCAAGCCCAAATATGGATCTAGCTGGTGAAGTCTTCACACTTGTTTTTCCAAAGTTGGGTTTTCTCTGTAATAAAAGAAATAGAAAACAAATATTCAAACTAAGGAAATATAATTAAGGAAAGATTGAAAGTTAATTGTATTTGAGGTAATTTAAAGGAGTGTATACTTGCAACTTATGATTTTTTAATAAAGGATGGTCAAACGCTGGTTGCTTGTTAATATCAATGCAATCAACAATATCCCCAAACTCTGTCTGTAGAATTCAAATTACAACAAATATAAATCAAATTATTAAAGGACTTAGTGAGATTGAGTTCAACAAAAGATATTATATGATGATATATATAAAAAGGATATCGAATACATAAATAAAGGACTTAGTAAGATTGAGTTAAACAAAAGATATTATATGATGATATATAAAGGATATTGAATACATAAATACTCTTGATAGGAGGCTTGTTAATGAGCTTCAGTTGTTTTTCCAGTTCTAGATCTTCTTTGAGTGTATTCTGAATACCATAAATTACATGGTTAACACTGCCAATTATCAAACACAAGACAACGATCAATGTACTGATCATTTTTTACTTTAGATTCTATTGACAATTAAAATGTCTTAAGGATCAATCGCCGTTCGTACTACTTATAAAGATAGAAAATAGTATTTAAAACTCAGTATCCAAAAACTATTAATACTATATTTATGATATAGTATTGAATATAAAGTATTTATTAGTCTTTATTTTTTTTCACCATATATAGTCATTATTATATAGCATTTATTACAAAATATTTATTATAAAGTATTTATTATAAATTATTTATTATATAAGTAAAAAAATCATATATTTTTCTTAAATATAAACAAACTAGATATAATTACTATCAGAATTTCTCTTATTACATGCGACCTTTCATGTGGATTTTACATAAAATTTCATAGGAAACATTGTTTCTATTGTAACACCTAGTTTTTTTTTTTTTTAGTAATGGCATTTTCGTAATTATTGATGACATTTTCGTAATTTTAATAAAGGAATAAGGGCATTTCTGGGTGTCGGAACGGAACGTTCCAAAAGCGGAACGGGCCGTTCCAAAAGAAGGAATATGTTGTTTTTTAAAGACCCAGAACAGGCCTGGAACGGGCCGTTCTAGGGCCGTTCTGGTTTGGAGAACGGGCCGTTCTGGAAGCAGAACAAGCCGTTCTGAAGCAGAACAGGCCGTTCTGCTGAGATTGAGAACGGGCCGTTCTGGTTTTAGAACGGGCCGTTCTACTTTTTGGGAACGGGCCGTTCCGATTTTGGAACGGGCCGTTCCAGTTGGAAAATTTGCCCACGTTTGAAGGATCCGGAACGGACCGTTCCGAAATCAGTACGGGTCGTTCCGGATGCGTCAGAATGCCTATAAATAGGGGCAGGGGGGAGAAAAAATATACCTGAGTGAAAAGTGAAAGTTCTAGAGAGAGAGAGAGAGAAAGAGAGAGAGAAAGAAAGAAAGAGAGGGAAAGAAAGGAGAATCTAGAAGAGGAGGCTCTGCCAAGTTTCAACTCCGCCTATCCAGGTAAGGGGGGAGTGAGAACCTCGCTCAGGGGTGTAGGGATATATAATTGTTGGATAGTTGTTTGTCGGATTGGCCCCCAATCCTTTGCCGTTGTTCTGTCTTATTTCCTGTTTGCTTTACTTTATTTCTTGTTGGAAATAATTAATGATTATGTAATCCCAATCCCTTGCCATTGTTCTGTTTAATTTTCTATTTACTCTACTTTGTTTTGTTGAAGGTGCCGTTGTTATGCTTGATTTTCTATTTACTCTACTTTGTTCTTTGTTGAAAGTGCCGTTGTTCTGTCCAATTTTTTATTTATTCTAATTTGTTCTTTGTTGAAAGTAATAAATGAATATGAAATTAATGTTAATAATAAATGGGTTTTAATATGAAAAAGAATGCTCTCTGGATCTCTGTGAATTCCTATGCGGACCTTATGAGGAGTATTTATGACATGACCTTGTGAAATATGGACAAATGACATGAGACATATGAATGGACTATTGAGACATGATATGATTATGAGACTATGACAAATGAGGACATGATGTACTAAACGAAATTATGTAATAAGTTAAATGTTAAGTCAATGAAATAATGACTGTATGACATGATTCATATGCATATATTATTCCAGGTGTTCCGCTGAGGCCGCATACCAGTGATGTAACTTGCTAACGAGGTGTACCTTGAGGTCACCAGCGATGTAACTTGCTAACAAGGTGTACCTTAGGGTCATCAGTGATGTAACCAGGTGTACCTTAGGGTCATCAGTGATGTAACCAGGTGTACCTTAGGGTCACCAGTGATGTAACCAGGTGTACCTTTGGGTCACCAGTGATGTAACCAGGTGTACCTTTGAGTCACCAGTGATGATATGTGAAACTTCCTTATGGCGCCACATGCATGCATTTATGAGTCGAGTTCATGACATCATAGCATGATAAATGAGTATATATGTGATATTGATTATTTATGTGTATTCTTTACATGTGACTTATATTTGTTGTATGCGTGTGTGTGCTATCTAACATTTATTTCTGCACCTGAAACTGAGTGAGATGTTTCTCACTCCCTTGTCGTTTTTGTATATGTTTAAATTATGATGCAGGTGATCAACATCATGAGAATGTTGGTGATGAGGCTTAAGGCTTCAGTTGGGCATGCTCTGATAGGATGTGACATCGGGGCATAGTTAGCTTAGTTTAATATGTCAATGTTTTAATAACTTTAGTTTCTCTTCTTTTGTAATTTCTAACGAAGAGATAACATAGATAAAGTTTATAATTCAAGGAAAATGTATATTAAGAGTTGTAATTTAAACGTTCTTGATAAAAGACCAAAATGTACATCTTTATTATATTTTTATTACATGATTTGGAAGTATAAATTAATCCCTAACCAGGAGGCACTGCCACCTTTACTGGAGTTAATTTATATTTCCTTTATTATATATATATATGGTTTCTTGTTTTTCACTAAATTGTATTGAAAATCTTAACTTCTTTTCTTTTATAATTTCTACATTGGAGTGATGATTTATGAGTTATGAATGTGAATCTTCTACCTTGTGATATTTGAGATATTTGTCAACTATGAAAGATTTTATTTACCCAAAAAGAAGAAAAGAAAAATTTTATTGTTACATTTGTTGTATATTAATATTGGGGTAGAGGGTGTCACATTTAGTGGTATCAGAGCAGGTCGATCCAATCGACCATGAGTTTACTATGCTTATTTGGTACATGAATGATGGATTGAACTGATTGTGGAACTTGTTGGTATGTTAGTATGATGATTGATTATGTTTATTGATTGTATTATTTTCTTAGACTATGGCTGGTAGAAATGATCGTGCGATTGCTGATGCTCTTCAAGCATTAGCACAAGCTATGAATAATAACAATAGGGCTGAAGTCGCTCCTAACTGGTTGGAGCAATTTCAACGAAATCACCTACCTACCTTTAAAGGAGGATATGACCCAGATGCTGCTATGAATTGGCTAACTGAGATCGAGAAGATCTTCAATGTCATGGATTGTCCCCTTACTCAGAAGGTGAAGTTGGCTACATTTATTTTGTCTGCTGATGCTCACTTTTGGTGGGAAGGAGCACTTTGGAGGATGATTGATGGAGGGGTTCCCAGATGATGTGAGGAGTCGAAAAGAAATGAAATTTCTTGAGCTGAATCAAGGGAACGACACAGTGGCAGTGTATGCTGCCAAATTTGATGCTTTGGTTCGTTATTGTACACACTACCATGGTGAGGGTGGTGAAAGGGCTAAATGCATAAAATTTGTAAATGGTCTGCGTCCTGAGGTAAAGACTACAATTAACTATCAGGAGATATATCACTTTCCCACTCTGGTCAATAAGTGCAGCATTTATGATCGTGACAACCGTGATCGTGCTGCTTTCTATAAAGGAGTTGGAGGTCCTATCCGTGCTGTGAGTTCTAGTACTTCGGGAAGGAGTAAGCCTTACTCCGCTCCTACTAGATTTCAAGGGAATAAAGCTATTGCTAATAAAAGCAAGTCATTTACTAGAGGATCCACTATTAGTGCTACTGGAAGTGTTGGAGGGTCGGTGTCCACTCCTTCAGTAAGATGCTGGAAGTGTGGACTTGCTGGTCATAATCAGTCTGAGTGTCGTGACAAGGAAGTTACCTGCTTCAACTGCAATGGTAAAGGTCACATCAACACCCAATGTCCTGAACCACGAAAAACACGTGTTATTGGATCGGGTTCACAAACTAAGCGTCCAAAAACTGTAGGGAGAGTATTTGCTCTTAGTGGTGCTGAAGCTTCTCGGTCAGAAAATATGATACAAGGTACTTGTTTCATAGCTGAGATTCCTTTTGTTGTACTATTTGATTCCGGTGCAACCCATTCCTTTATTTATGTCTCTTGTGTCCAGAAATTGAATTTGCCTGTGTCTTTGTTAGATTTTGATTTAGTTGTTGAAACCCCTACTAATGGTCCTGTGACTACATCCCTAGTGTGTTTGAAATGTCCTTTGACAGTTTCTGATAAGCAGTTTCTAGTTGACTTAATTTGTTTGCCTCTTAGTCAATTAGATGTAATTCTTGGTATGGATTGGTTATCTTCTCACCATGTCCTTTTAAACTGCTTTGAGAAATCTATTTCCTTCGGTGAATGTAAGGAGAGTACGGAATTTCTTAGTGCTGCTGACATTAAAACTTGTTTAAAAGACAATGAAAAAGTGTACATGATCTTCGCTTCCTTAACACTTGAGACTGATAGTAAGCTAGATGAGATTCCTTTAGTGAAAGAATTTCCAGAAGTATTTCCTAAGGATGTGTCTAGTTTACCACCTGAGAGAGAGATTGAGTTTAGCATAGACTTAGTGCCAGGTACATCACCTAACAAATAGAGCAACTGCAAGAGAAACAATTCATTAGGCCTAGTGTCTCACCTTGGGGAGCACCTGTTTTGTTGGTTAAGAAGAAAGATGAGAGCATGAGGTTGTGTGTAGACTATACGCAATTGAATAAAGTGACCATTAAGAATAAGTATCCTTTGCCTAGGATAGATGACCTTATGGATCAACTATGTAACATCCCAATTTTTTCTTAAAAAGGGTATTTTTATTATTAATGGAATTTTCTTAATTTTCATAAAGGAATAAGGGTATTTTTATAATAGAATGGCATTTTCGTAATTATTAATGGCATTTTCGTAATTTTCATAAAGGAATAAGGGTATTTTTGTAATTTTATGGCATTTTTGTAATTTTGTTAAAGTTATTGGGGTATTTTTGGTTTTTAGAACGGGCCGTTCCAAAAGTGGAACGGGCCGTTCCAAATAAGAAAAATGAGTGTTTCTGGGTGGTGCAGAACGGGCCTGGAACGGGCCGTTCTCCAAAGGAGAACGGGCCGTTCTGCTGGGTTTTGGAACGGGCCGTTCCAGTTCAAAAATTTGCACAAATTTGAAGGGTCCAGAACGGGCGTTCTACTTTTTGGAACGGCCGTTCCGGATAGGTCCGCAAAAATGCCTATAAAAAGGCCCCTCCTCCCTCTCCTTTCCTCACACCTCTCACCTTCTCTTCCTTCTCTCTTCTTTCTCTCTCTACTTCCTGTTGTTGAGGGAAGGAGCTTAGGGGGTGGAGGTTCTGCCCTAGTTCCGACTACCGTTTAAGGAAAAAGAAGAGGAGGTTCTGCCTGAATTACTATTTATCCAGGTACGGGGGAAAAGGGGATTATTTATATGTAAAGTATATGAGGGTATTGGGTAATGGAAGAATTCTATAGGATTATGATTAATTTTATAATTATTTTATTTGGAGAATTATTAGTTCCATTAATTTGTCTGTGTTGAGGTTTATAAATATGCCAAAGTGTAGGAATGATGATCTAGGAGGAAGAATGAATTGTAAGGATAATGCGGGGAGCTAGGTTCCGGAATAATTCAGGTTTTTACTGTGTATATTAAATTGACTATTCTATTAATTATTATATTAATTTATGATGTTATTGTTATAATACTTGTTAAGAATGTATAATCGTGATGTGAATTGCTTGATGGGTGTGTAAACCCTTATTTTGTTGAGCTTATCTGTTGTGTATGTGATGTGGAATTGAGTATGTGATATGAATGTGAGTTATGAAATGAGATGTGTGGAATATGAATGGAATGTGAATGAGATGTGATTGTGGTACTGATGACCAGGGGTGAGCACGACCCTAGGCTGAAGGGTAGCGTGACCTTGACATAGTAAGATTTGTGATTGTAATGTGATTGTGGTACTGATGACCAAGGGTGAGCACGGCCCTAAGGGGGTAGCGTGACCTTGGCACAGTGTTATGTCAGGGGTGAGCACGACCCAAGGCTACTAAAAAGGGTAGCGTGACCTTGGCACAGTGTTATGTCAGGGGTGAGCACGGCCCTAGATTGAAAAAAGGGTAGCGTGACCTTGACATAGTGAAATTTATGTGAATTATGAATGTGAAGATGATAATGTTAAGGTTCATGTAGATTGCGATGGATTGATGTAATTATGAATTGAGATGTGAAGATGATGAATGATTGATAAAATGATTATATACATGTATCTAAATATATATTTGTAAATATTTTATTAAATAATGAATTATGATGAGATTATATTG